TCAGAGAAGGGGAAGGTCATCTTTGGTCAGAGGCTTGCCTAGCTCATGACGAGGGCTTGGGGGTGGGGAACCTCAATCCATCCCAGTCGTATGAGTATGAAGCAGATGCCAGTAATAGGTCCCCAGAGCCCAGACAAGGGTCGCATGTCAATAGGAGATGATCTGGAGTGCAGCACAAAGGAATACTAGCCAGTCCAGCCAGTAAGTTAGCCTCATGGGAGGCGCAACTTAAATGCCTCTATGCAAACACAAGTAGCATGGGGGAACAAACAGGAGGAGTTAGAGATGTATGCATGCCTGCAGGGCTCCGATCTTATTGGCATCACAGAGGTGTGGTGGGACGCCTCCTGTGACTGCAGTGCTGGAATGGAAGGATACAGGCTTTTCAGAAAGGACAGGTAGGGGAGATGAGGAGGGCTGTCACCTTCTATGTCAATGACCAGCTGGAGTGCTTGGAGCTCTACCTGGGGATGGATGAGGAGCTGACTGAGAGCTTATGGGTCTGATTAAAAGGAGGGCAAGGACCCTCTATTTTAGGGTCTTGATACCTGTTTCTTAGGCAGGAAGTGTTCTTGTAGCACAAGGTGATAATGTCATACTATGGCATCTTTACGGAGCAGCGTGAGGGGCAGGTGCAGTATTTGTGTCAGTATTTGTAGTGTCAAACCGGACGCTTTTTTATAAGTCTACCATCTGTCCATGATAATCATGGTTCTCAGGGAGATGCTGGCTTGGATGCTAAACTCCGTGTCTTTTGTGATGAACTTTTTCAGGTGTTCCAGGTGTCTCCTTTCACTTAACGGTTTAGCTGTCTACAGCAAACTTAAGCTGCTTCAGGTTTTTATTATTATTTGCCAATTGCTATTAATATCTTAAACATACTTTGGACCATTGCTTAGCCCCTGTCACACAGATGATTTGCTCTCAAGTCTGACAGACTTCAGTGAAGGCTTAAATCTTTGCTGTGCGAGTCCCCATCAGGAAAGAGGTGTAACAGTTCCAGCCGTCTGGGAGCGAGGGCATCCCTGTGACTGCAGCACTGTGGTTAGGAAAACCCCAGGAAATCAGAGCCCACAGCAGAAGTGAAGGCTGTTAGCCGGAGGTGCCTGAGTGTCCTTCAGAGGCTTAGCACTAGCACAGCAGGATGTGGGAACGCCAGCGTAGGAGTGACAGGCACCTCTGCTCACTCCCAGCCTCAGCACATCGTCCTCATGCAGGGTCACGCCATCCTGAGGCACCTTGGTGGGACCTGAGGAGCACCTCAGCTCTAGCTCCCATGCCCCTGCTTTGCTCAGCAGATGCCCAACCCAGGAGTTGTGGGCATGCAGGAGAGGGAGTCAGGAAGGTTTGGCAACTTGTCAGAGAGAGTCATCAGGGACCTATAGGAGAAAGGCATTCATGCCTGCCATTTATGCTAAGGGCATAGCTTAAGGAGGAAAAAGAACTACTGGGGAAGACAACACCAAACATGACTTTCAAGGAATGCAGCTGTGGGCGCCCATCCCAGTGGAAAGCTAAATGTTTGCAGAGATGGCAGACCTGGGTGCAGCACACCCAGCTCTGGCATGTACAGCTACCACTCCAGCTGGACATGTGCCTTGGAAGAGCAACTGTGCTGAAGCTGCCAGCCGTCAGGCGGAAAACAAACCAATCTACAGAGTATATGACACAACTTGTTGGTCTGAAAGGCATGGGAGATTTCAGACATATGAGACACAACAGACCTTCAAAATAATTGCTTTGTGCTCCTGCTCCTGCCAAAGCAGGTTTGCTCTGGGTGTTGAGTTAATGAGCCCTGTTAGCTACTCCCACATCAGCCAGTGGAGGAATTACTATTATTTGCTCGGTTCATTTAGCACACCACCACCTTTGCATTGTCTGAGCTCTAAGATGTTTCTTACATAGTCCACTTAGGCTTGTTTTTTTTTGTGTGGAACACACGCAAAAACCTACACAAGACTAGCTAAGAAAGATGCAGTGGCCATGAATTGTACAATCACCATCTGCTGTTCTGCTGTGTCTTGGCTTGTATTAGAGATAGTGTAGCCAGCAGCATTAGGGGAGTGATTGTGCCCCTGTACTTGGCACTGTTAAAGCCACACCTGTGTTAAGTTTTGGACTCTTCACTAGAGACCCGACCTTGAGGTGTTGGAGTGTGTTCAGAGAAGGGCAATGAAGCTGGTGAAGAGTCCAGAGCACAACTCTTATGAGGAGCAGCTGAGGGAACTGGGATTGTTTAGTCTGGAGAAAAGGAGGCTGAAGGAAGACCTTCTTGCTCTCTACAACTACCTGAAAGGCAGTTGTAGCCAGGTGGGGGTTGATCTCCCAAGTAGCAAGTGATAGGACAAAAGGAAATGGCCTAGAGTTATGCCAGGGGAAGTTTAGATTGGATATTTGGAAAAATTTCTTCACCAAAAGGGTTATCAGGCATTGGAAGAGGCTGCCCAGGGAACTGGTTGAATCACCATCCCTGGGGGCATTTGAAAGACATGTAGATGTGGTGCTTAGGGACATGGTTTAGTGGTGGACTTGGCAGTGCTGGGTTAATGGTTGGACCTGGTGATCTTAAAGGTCTCTTCCAACCAAAACAATTCTATGATTTTATGATCTTCAAGCTGATTTCTAAAGTAATAACTTACGCCATTGTGTATTAATGTGGAGGTCTTTTTCCTCATTGTGTCTGTGGGTCTTACATTTCTGGGGATCGCTGTCTTGCAGTAACAGAATGAGAACCTTTGGCAACCCCTCACATAAGCACAAGGACAGTGTCAGTATTTCTGTGGAGCTCTGTAACATTTACAGAAATGCAATTCATGTATGCAAAATTCTTTGAAGGTCAAACCTTTCCAATGACAATATTAATCTAGTGCTTTGTAAATGTTATTTAATCTTCATAACAGTGTTTGGATGTGGCATGGTTATTTCAATTGGAATGGCCTTGGATGTTATGCATTCTAATGCACGTGGACCTGGATTATGCATACAGACCATGTTTATTAGAACGAAAACATTTCTCACTGCAATGAGTGAGAAATGTTTTGAAATATCTTTCTTTCGTAGGCAGTAGATGCTTTTATAGTATAATTATTTCACTTCTGAACTTGGTATATTAATCTTTTTTCCAACCGCTCCTCAGCAAGCTGATGAGCCGGAAGGTGCAAATGACTTCAGAATGGAACTTCAGCAGCAGTGACAGAAGAATCAGGAAACCAGCAGGGATTCCCAAAAGCATGAGCAGAAAATACTCAGAAAAACTCCCCTTCGATCTTCTTAAAATTCTAATACACAATTTGTCATCTCCAGGCATTTACCCATCAAGCTACATCTGAAAAGACTTGTTCATTGGCCATACTCTAAATGAACCCTTTATCTTTTCCAAAGCTTCCCAATGCCAGAACTGCCTCTCCTAGATGTTTAGATTCTTGTGGAGGCAGGCAACTCTCCGAAGATGCAAACATGCACACTTACTCGGAGGGCTCCGGTGACTGCAAAGGCTGCTAACCTTAGGGGCAGCTGTCTAGTCCCCATCACGCAATCCCAGGGCTCTGCTGCCTTCCCGTGCTTTAGCGGGAAAATTCCAGCATGCTGACCTGGCGCTGACTCCTCGCTGTGAAAACACAATGAGATCCATTCTCCTATGGTGGACAAGCTATGCACATAAAAACCCTTCTGACTGAAAAGAGAATAGACCCCTTTAGCCTTAGCATGACAAGACTCCTTTGAATCCTCACAGCATTTTTCAGTGAAGCGTGTTGAGGATGGAGCATACTTTCTCCCTTCCCCCTCCTTTGCTCCTTGCAGAAATCTGTAGCAGCATACCTAGTACGTCTCATCTGTATAAGGCTCTTAAAAACTACCTTCCTGCTTTTCAGCCAGTCTCCTCTCTCTGTAACTTGGGCAGGGACATACTTTTTATTTTAAACCAACTGGAATTTTCTCTTTGATGATTCTGCTCACCTGCCCTGCCCAAGTGCCCTGTTGCACAGTGGCTTTGATGAAACTGACGAAGTGCTCTGGGATCATCTGTTTGACATTAATAGATATACTGATAATTGGGAGACAACATGAGTACAGTTACTCTGAGACAGAATCTGAAAAGCGTGCAGATAAAAGATGAAATTTCAAACTAGCAATTCAGTGAGACCCTGTAGTTGCCAACAAGTCAAGTGACACCCATCTCACACATAACTGGTATGATAATGATTCAGATGATTACTAATTTTGATCTACAATATTGCCTTCTATAACCTTTAGATATTATATTCTTTAGATATTATACCAATAACACTACAGCAAACCAAGCCAACCAGTCATGACAACACCAAAACCAAGCAAAAACTCAAGCTGACATATTACTCTTCTCTCCAGCTCCTTCTTTAATACAGAAAAACCCAAATAAACAGGCAGGTTCTGCAGATGAATGAAGTTGGACTGACTTAAGGTGGAGAAACAAGAATTACAGATTTGAAGTCTTGCATTTAGATTCCCCAAATTTCTAATCCTGGCCCCTGTAAAAGCAGACATTTTATCTGAAGGGCAGAAACAACCATATAATAGTTTAAAAAAAGTATTTATCTAGAGCTCTCTGAAGTAGATAAATGTTCCCCTAGTTTCTTCAGTCACTTTGCATCCAAGCTCCAAGAAAGTGGAGAAGTGTAGAAATATATATATTTTTTAATGACATATAGTACCCTCATAAATTTAATTAATAATTGGACAACTCATTTGGATCCCTTGTGATAATGGATTACTTCTTATCAAACAGTAAAATATTTATAAGAATGAATTAGTAATTGTTGGTTTATTCCTTGAATGACTCAGAAACAGTAAGACGGAAGCATAGGTTTTATTTTAAATGTGAGAGCAACTTAGGTTAAGTGTCTTGTTTGCTTGGGGTTTTTGTAATATTGTGTAAAAAAAAATGTATAATGTAATCATTTAGTGTTTATTTTATTATGTGTACCTTCTACTCAGAGGGTTGGCATTATTGTTCCTAACAGTGATGGATACAAGCAGATCATGCCCTATGACCTCTACCATCCCCTTCCTCGGTACGTAAAACAGTCAACCAGATGCTAGGATTAACAAATACATTTGCTTCTTTTTTTCTTTTCCCTGTATTTCTGCTTGGCTCTCAAACTAAGTTAACTCTCTTCTTCTGCAGATTAACCTAGAAATGTTCAAATAGATGTAGCTTTTCTCTTGCTCTCAACTTCTGCAGATTAACCTAGAAATGTTCAAATGCTAACCTGTTTTTATAAATCCTTTTGATGCAGAACTGAAACAATATTCTAGCTGAAGCAGCAATGCAGACTTATTAAGTGTGTGGCTGCTTTCTTTCTCTCTTTCCCCACTCCTCACCGCCCCACCTCTCCTTTTCTCTCACACCTTTCCTTTTCACTCTCTTTACTCATCTCTGAACATGGCAGCTGGCTTTCTGATGAATCATCAGACTTTCTGTCTCTCTTCAGCAGTACTGCTAATTGCATGCTTATAAATCGTGAGATTTTGGGTTTAGACAGTATTAGTGTTGTATTCTGATCCTGCAAACCCATGCTAAAGCCTTCCCCAGGGGCATTTATCCATTGGCTTTTCTAAGTAATCAGAGATCAGGGGAGGAATAGGATCAAGGCCTGATTTGTGTTATTAATTATCTCACAATTAAAATGTACACATTTAATGTAAGACTTGAGATCTTCATGGAGATAACCACATGGGTAATTACTCTTAAAGCCATGAATAAGGCTGGTGCTAATACAAATATTTGGTAGTTGAAGAATAATAACCATTTGGTTTTGAAATACTGCCTGAACGTGCAACAGAACTGTGCTGTGTTTCCTTCTTCATTAATTTATTGTGTCATGGAGTATGAAATCACAGAAAGAACCCAGTAGGCAACTTGTTAGTCTCATCCTAGTGAGGAAACAACCTCCCTCAAACCATGGTGAGGCCTAATGCAGAGACCTTTCCGTGTCGATGTGCAAGCGCAGTGCATTCACGTTCAACAGAGTCTCCAGCCAAATCACGGACCCACCCCAAACTGCATGTGAGAAGACAAGGAGGAGAGCAGCTTACCTACCAAGGATTGTGGCTGCCATTTGTGTTGAGACCCATTAACAATGACCTGTGTCATTGTTAATGGCTTTTCTCTTCCTAACTAAGTGCTTATGGTTACATACACACAGTCTTTATCACTAAATATTCATGAGATACACTTCTAAAATATATCCCTGTGTCTAATTCCTTTTTTCTGGAAAACATTTTTCTCTGTTCTTTATTTAAAATAAACCCCATACATACCTCCTAACCTCAAAAATTAAACTTCTGTTACTAGGGAATATAGAAGCTAGAATATACAGGGTTTAACACTCAAACTTTGACTAAAACAAATTTAAATTGTGTACAAAGGGCATGTACATTGACAAAAGATGGAGAAGAATTTTATACCAGAGGATGATTCAGCAGTACTTAACAGTAGAGAGACTGTATTTAAGGAAAAAGCATCCTGAGCTGGCAGCCAGGCGGAGGCTTTTTTACTGCTGAAGAAAATCCAAAATAAAGGATCAAAATGCCCTGAGGTATTTGGCTCTCAGTAACACTGAAAGTCAAAAAGAAAAAAAAAAATCATTCCCTGAAAATGATCAAAAGGCTGAGACTGTTTCTCAAGCTGTTCTGGATTATGGTCTCACCCCGTAACAGGCCCTTTACATCCACTCTCCCAGCTGCACCTTTAACCCCACCTCTACTCCCCATCCCCCCACAATCGATTGCTCAGGCTGCAACTGCTGGCCAGACCTCAGACCCCCTTGTTCCCTCTGCTGTTTCACTGCTGCTTCCCCTCTTCTTCCTCTCCCCCATTCCCACAGGTGCTCCAACAAACCCACAAACATGGCTCAGGTCTTTCTCCCTCGCCCCAAGAGGGAAGATGCAGCCACATGTCTCTTCTCCAAACCTGAGGGACAGCAGAAACTGAACAGACCACGAGGCTGGCATGAGAGAGGAGACAAGTCAGAGGGATAAAGAATATCCTTCCTCTGAAACTGCAGAGTTTAGGCCAAAAAAAAGCCACAAACCCCCAACCAAAAAAAAAGCTGCAAATCAAAAAACCCTCAATCAATCCAGAGAGGCCCTGGTTGCATCACCTTTCTGAGGCTTGCAGCTAATACCAGGGACAGAGGAGCATGACAAACACTCCAGCAGAAGTGGAAGGCAAATCTGGGAAGGCATTTTTGCAAGATTTGCCTAGTGCAATCCCTCAGCCTTTACTGTCATCACAAAGAGGGAGAAGTATGGTTCAGCTGATACAGTGCTTACTTTAAATGCAGCCCCAATTCCTTTCACAAATTTTTGGTCAATGCTGTATGCCTTTGTACCTTGAAAGGAGCTGTGACGCCTGCTTTAAGAGCTGTTCAACAGAGAAACTCCACCTTCCTATCTTACACTTACACAAAACGTGAGCATCCAAGTGCTTCCCTAGATTTCAGCTGCTTGGTATTGCTGAGGTTGCCTAAGACGTCTGGAAACTTGTCCCGAAGACTCCAGGGAATTCCCTGGTGCCATGTCACTTTTATGCCTGGGAAAAGCTGCATCAGTTTCCACTGCAGCAACTTCTGCAGCGTGATTTTCAGTTTGAGGCCTCTTCATTTAGATTTGTGGTAGTGAGAAACCTTTGCTGTGAGCTGGGAAACTTGTTCAGCAGAGCCACAGGTAACCCATTGGAACTAAAAACATTGCTAAAATTAGCAATTTTTTACACATATTATTTATGCTGAGCACACGATGATGGATATGGCATGGTGTAAACATTATTTCACCACTTCTTCATGATAAGTTGTAGAATTAGTCAGTGGCTTTACCATTCATAAACAGTTATTAACAAGCCTTTTCACACTGAGTTTTATGGCCAGCCAGTAGCCAAGTGTGGGTAATGCTTACATGTACTGGAGCTGATGAGAAAAAGACAGGTTGATATGATGAAAAATTAGAGGGAAAGATAAGCGTTTTTCATATTGCTTAATAATCTTGGGGATCCTGAAATTGTTGCTTAATCAAAATTACTCCTTTAAGTGGGAGAAAACAATCCTCGCCTTTCGCTTTTTTCCTTCTTGCCTGAAAGAAGAAAGAGATGTTCTTCTTTCTGCAAAAAACAATTTTTAAGTCAAGAAATGAAAAATTATGACCAAAATAATTGTTTCAAACCTTATATTGAATGTCCTTATCAAATGGACATTGAATTAAAAAAAAAAAAAGTTAAATGTATCCAGGGAGACAGAACATGCACACTTTTACAGCATTAGGCATCCACAGGATTATACAGAAATAGCCACACTGGATCATGATGGTGGTCCCAGATCCTCTTTGTGACAATGGCTTGAGTGTTAGTGGAAATACCAGACTATTTTATGTGAACAGACAGGTACACATATAAAATGATAGATACATTATTGTATATACATCACTGTAATAAAAGTATTATTTTAGTAAGTATGCATAGCTTTCCAGAACATACACATTGTTTTGTGGATTTATTGTTGCATTCTCAAATGGCACCTTTAGAGAAAAGATGGTTTCTCCGTTCCTCTTAATACCTCAACTGTAAAGAAACAAGGCCCATGTGTTTTATCCATCAGAAGCCATGTATCCTATCAGTATAGTCACATCTCAGAATCATATTGCCATCTAGGTTGGAAGGGACCTTTAAGATCATCTAGTCCAACCATCAACCTAACTCCGATTAAAAAAAAAAAACAGAAAACCATACAGAAACTCCCCCCCCGCCCCAATACTAAACTATGTCTCTAAGCACTATGTCAACCCATCTTCTGAAAACCTCCAGGGATGGTGTCTCAGCCGCTTCCCTGGGCAGCCCATTTCAATGCTTAATAACCAAACAGAAAACCATACAGAAACTCCCCCCCCGCCCCAATACTAAACTATGTCTCTAAGCACTATGTCAACCCATCTTCTGAAAACCTCCAGGGATGGTGTCTCAGCCGCTTCCCTGGGCAGCCCATTTCAATGCTTAATAACCCTCTCAGTGTAAAAATTATTACTAATATCCAATCTAAACCTCAGCTGGCACAACTTCAGGCCATTTCATCTTGTCCTAGCGCCTGTGACTTGGGAGAACCAATCCCTACTTCTCTACAACCTCCTTTCAGGTAGTTGTAGAGAGCAATAAGGTCTCCCCTCAGCCTCCTTTTCGCTTGACTAAACAAACCCATCTTCCTTAGCCTCTCCTCATAAGACTTATTCTTCACACCACTCATCAGCTTCGTTGCCCTTCTCTGGACCTGTTCCAGCACCTCAATGTCTTTTTTGCCCTAAGGGGCCCAAAACTGGACACAGTAAGCAAGGTGGGACTTCAACAGTGTCTTCTTTTTGGTAATTTCTTCCCATCATCTTTTTTTTTTCTCAACGTCGTTGTTTCCCTAGAAAGAAACACTGCTGTTTCCCTGACATGTTCCGCAAAAGGACCATCAGCTTTAGAGCACCCTAAGCTTCCAGTGATTTGTGACAAAGATTCCCCAGAACATAAGAAATTGTGAAGATATGATAATCCCATCAATTAAATAATAGGAATTAAGTTAAAAGTATTTAGAGTTCTGTGGCAGTGGTCACAGGGTTAGTGGGAGAGAGGAGATTTCATATTACTAATCCGTAACTTAAAGACAGTAGCCTTGAGAGTCCTTTGCTGTTATGGCCATTTATGAAATATATATATGATTATTTTTTACTGATACTAATCTGAAAAAAAACCCCAAACCTCCTGCAGATAGCAGTTGATGGATTTCAGGTGGTGCAGGTCGGGGCGGGGGGACACAGCAGGGGTTCCCTTCTCTGATGTTTCTCTGTTTTGGGGCTTTATTTTTCCCCAGATGGGAAAGTACACCCTGGACTGCCTGTTCCTCATCTTGTGGAGGGGGCATTCAAAGCCGCAGCGTCTCATGTGTGGAAGAAGACATTCAGGGGCATATCAGCCCTGTGGAAGAATGGAAATGCATGTATACTCCAAAGATGCCTGTTGTCCAGCCTTGCAATATATTTGACTGCCCAAAGTGGCTTGCTCAGGAATGGTCTCCGGTAATCAGTTTAGCTTTGTTGGTTTTGTATTTGCCGTGCTAGGAATGTATCTTAAATTATAGTTTTGTGAGCTTGTAGAAGTAGGAACATGCACTACTTACTTTCCTTATTACCATGATCTTGGTTTTAAATTATGCTATTTGTCTAACTGCAAAGTTAATACTCAGGAATATTGTATTAATAAGATTAACATGATTTAGCAAAATGATGGAAACATAAATCAGATCTGTAATGTTAATTAGTGACCTTCTACTAATAATAGACTGCGAACATAAATGAAATGCACACAACAAAACCCATAAGCCCATAATGGTATATCTTTGTTACAACTTGTCAGCCATAAATTGGGTACCAAGAATTGCTGAGAATTTTCCAGAAATACAAGAAATCGTATATATCCCTGCTCTTTGATGCTTGTAGTTGTCTTGTTCCTGATTCACCCTCCTTCTGTATGAAAGTAAATGTCTTTCTACAAAAGCAGAAAATGATTTTGTACATAGAGACTGACTTTTGAATGTATTTTCTCTCTACCCTGGTTTCTCAACAAGTGAAATTGGATTTAGAAGCTTGGGTTTTAGAAGCTAAGTTAGCTCACCCGCAGGTGAGGTATTCTTGACTGATTGCAAAGGGTTTTGCGATTTCCAGATAAAAGCTGCTATCCAAAAGCAAAGTAATCTTGCTGGTAGCCTTAGCCCTCCACATTGGTTGGTAGTTTTGATGCACTCCCATGCAACCACTTCTGAAACAAATCATACAGGGGGAAAAATTCACGTTCCTTACCAAAAATAAATTAAAAAACACTTAAGAAAGTGTCTGAGGGAAGAAAGCCCAAATAGTTTCCCATTCTGTTAGGTGCCATAGTCCAAAATAGCTGAGTGCCACCCCTGTTAGCCCTTAAGCCCCAGTACTTTGTCCAAGCAAAGCAGAGTGGCTCCAGATGAAATTGACAGGGTGCTGCTGAGCATATCCAATATGGGACGGATGGCCACAAGCCAAGTAGCCACCACTGAGGGACTGGCACTGCAAGAGAAATCCAGCCGCAAAATGTCCAAAACAAGTAAACGTGCAGAGCAAAAAGGCAAAAATTTATAACAATTTTATACTTTATCCATAGCTATCAAATATTATGAATAATTTATGTTCAGGATTACGTATTTCTGCATCATATTTTGCTCTCTGATATACACATATTTCTATTGCGTATTCCCCTTTAATTTATTTCTCCTGTGACATATCACACACATTTTTTTTTTCCTTCTTTTTCCCCAGTGCACAGTGACCTGTGGACAAGGACTCAGATACCGTGTGGTCCTTTGCATTGATCACAGGGGGATGCATACAGGGGGCTGTAGTCCTAAAACAAAGCCACACATAAAAGAAGAATGCATCGTACCCACACCCTGCTACAAACCCAAAGGTAATGAGGCAGAAGGATTCTCATAAATTTTTAGAGCTCTTCCATGTTGAGCAGTTTTGTTTTGTTGCTGGTGGCAGGATTTCCACCTGCACTGAGTTGTGAATTTACACCTTTAAGGCCTGCCATTCCTATTCCAGTCTGCCTGCCAGCAACTTGGAATGAATGCTGGCCCCTTCCTCTTTCTTACAAGCTCTGGGGTTTTCACTTTTAATTTGTGATCCACCAGACCAAGCAATATAAATGTAAATTTGACAATAGTGTAAGCAGATTTAACCTCACTGTTTGTGTCTGGGAAAAATTTGTCCTTTTTTAAAAAGGGAATTAAATATATATAAATAACTTCTATGATAGATAAATGTAACCATAATTTTAAAATGCATTTTCATAACTTGGATCTTGAAATAGGTCAGAAGCAAGCATTGTATATCCCAACATGAGGTTCTTTTTACCAGCAAAGCTGCAAAATTTGGCAGACTGTTAGAGCTGAAGCATCTTATAGCAAGGAGTACTCACAAAATGTATAGATATGTTTCTTGACTGGGCCTCAGACAGAATTGTACCGGGGTAAAAATCCCCCACATTTTGTTAAGAGAAGGAGAAAATATTTCTGCAGCTCTTTGGAGGTTCTTACGGGATGGGAATGTTTAAAAAAGTCCTGGAGACTGTATTGGATTAATGGGCAGTGACCATGGGCAGCAGACACAGGTATTCGACCATTTCCACTGGTATACGAGCGTGCATGTGTTTGTGTGTGTGTATATAGCTCTGTTGACACAACTTCTGTGCCTGTATGCTGACTAACTTATGGCAACTTCTGGGCTACAGCAATGCAGGTGAGTTGAAATTCCCCAAACTGGAGACTTAAGCCCCACCATAGGAAGAGACCTTCTAAGAAATTAATTGCTACCTTGATACATATTAAGAGCACTTATTATGAAGCCCTGTGAAATAGGAATGATCCATGACCTCATGCTGATCCAAGATGGAACAGTGAAATTTTGAATTTTAATTTCTGCACTTGGTGGTCAATGATGCTGAAACTTGGCATTTGCCAAGTTTCAAGATGCTAGTTTATCTGGATGATGAGGATTCACTGTTTCTGCCAGCCACCAAAGTGGTGAAACCCAGACACAGGACATCTGGAGAGCAATAGCTATGTTAGCACTGTATTTTGCTGGCCAACATAAGCTCACTCCCTTCAGATGAAAAAAAAAGGTCCTGTGACTGCGTTAACATGACTCTGAGACTCATACGGAGATTCAGTGGGTTTGGGGTCAGCCAGTCAGTTGGCTTTATGGGGCTTTATGTGTTTATGGTGTTCAGAGCACAGGTGAAGCAGGATCCTACCTGCCTGCAGCACGCAGTGTAAGCAAAATGCAATTAAGACACCAAAAATCAGGTGTTGCAAACCACCTACAACTGACTTCTGCCTAGGGAACCTGAGAAGGGTGCAAAACCATCTAGCAAAGCTTTGCTTGCCTGCATGTGTCAAGAAGTCTCTTCCGATGGGACTAGTCTGGGAGCTAAGCAAATTGCTGTTTGCTGGTAGCCCACCCTTGCAAAATAGCGGCATCTTTACCCTGGATAAACTCTTATGCTGCCCTCTGCACTACATACATGACTAATTTCTCATCGTAGGCAGCTACCTCTTTCTTCCATTTTTTCCCATGGGATGGAAAGTCCTACATGAAGCATACTGTTCTGCTTGTGTTTAATTTTAGTCCTCATCTCATTTCTGCAACACTCTCACAGCTGTCCCTCCATAAGGCAAGCGGTAATGTTTGAAGACCCATGTACCTGAAGGCTGAATCGTGTTTTCAGAAGTGATTTGGACCAGATGATATCCAGAGGTCTCTTCCAATCCAAATTATTCTATTCTATGGAAATAGAATTTCCATAAATTTGTCCTTTTTATTTTGCAAATCTAGAGTTAAAAATTTAGAGCATTAGAGGTAGCAAAGTACTTTCCTCTATCGAATGTTTTAGTCTTAGCCTGCTTTTCCCCTCTAGTTCTCGTTTAACACAAAGCATAAAAACAATCTTCCAAGGTGACTGAAGCAAAGCAAAAAATGTGGAACTCCTCCTTCTTTTAACACACGGTGCTAAACAGAAATAGAATGCAAATAGATCATGTCATTTATTTCATTTTGGTGTATTCAAGCATTGAGGCATTTTCTCTTACGCCAGTAATGGAAAAAAAATGGATATCCCTGGATTAAGTAATGATTTTCAGTTTTAATAGAGAAGGTGTCTTCACCCAATACAACTTTCTGTATAATATAGGATTTAAATGTTTTTACTGGAACTGTTTTTTAAAAGGAGAGATTTTAGTTTAACTTCCAAAGGTAGAAATTCCTCCTTGGCTTATGTTAGGAGTGCTTTTTATTTTTTTTTCTTTTTGTCAAAGAATTCTGTACAACATCAAAATTTCTAATCCTCTAACTCATTTTATGGTGTAGATGATAATTAACTGCACCTCTAAAAGAAAAGTTATTTAAAAAGTCACATAACAGTCAATGGTACACAAGAGCTTTTGCTTTTTACAAGCACTTGCATCCAAGCAAAAAAAAAAAGCACAGGAGTAAGACCTGGCTTTCCAAAACCCATAAAACAAGCTGCAGAACATATAAATAGAAATATGTCCAACATATTTTGGATAACAAAAGTGGTAAAATATAGATTAAACTAAGAGCTGTGCTGGCAAATATTCACCCTTAAATGGCACTAATAAATATATTAAAGTAAGAGCTTGGCAAGCGATTTGTAAGAGATAGGCATAGTAACTCTATTACTGTCCCTTTTTTCCTCCTTTAATAACTTGCTCCAAGGAAATTTGCTTGACTAAAGTTGCAGTAGCTGTGAAATCAAGTTGGAGGTTGTTCTTCGTCTATGATATAACTGACAGATGGGAAATTTCATGCGTGGATATGAAAGGTTTGCTGTTGTGCACAACAGAGGCACAGAAAATTCCTAGCTATTCTGAATGGCATTAATCTGCTCCCGTTGGCGAGTACAAACCTGTGCATTATAGAAACCTGAAAGACTTAGGTGATTTGTGAGTGGCAAATAGGTCTGGCCCTGGTTCTCCTCAGTGGTCTGAGTCTCACTCCCTTTTATTTGAGTTTTTCCCCCTGATCCTAGCCCAGAATGTTTTGTTGAAATGCAGAGCTCCTTCCCAAATTATAGTGCCAAATTTGCTCTTGCTTTATACCCCTGTAGAGCTAAAACAGCTCCATTGCCTTCAGCTCAAATACTCCACTTTGACACCGCATGAAAGCAGAGTTTGGCTCGCCAAGCAGCATGGCCCTGGGCTCCCCGGAGCAGAGCAGCTCATTACGCTGTGCGCACATCCTGGAGGGGAAGAAAAGCAGCTCTACTGTTTTCCATCAGCAATGACAGAAAAAGTATCAAGCTTGGGTTTTTTTAAATCCACATAGCTGATGAACTGATAAGCTTAAAGTTGAAAAGTATAGCGGGGCCATTTTATTACAGTTTCTCTGTTTTTCTGCGGTATCGCTCATCAAATCTGGGTTTTTCTTCCTTTTTGTAATCTATCAAAAACAAGCTTAATGCATCTTCTGACGTTCTAAAATTTAAGGGTAAACACAGTGATTTTTATACATTTTGCCTTTGCAGTGTCAATAGAGGCCTGTTACACTTGCAAGGCTCCCTCCAAAAAATACCTTCCCGAGCACCTATTTTTACAGCCCAGTTGAATAGTCTGAAAAGTGACTTAATTTGCCTTTCTGGCCTTAGAATGCCATAGCCCTTTTAGCTGCAACAGAGACCTATCTGGCCATACAACCTTCTAAATGTTATAGTCCAGGTGACAGAGGAGTATCCCTCTCTTCTTCTCTCCTTTACCTCTCCTTCTGCTTTGTGCTCAGCTTCCGTGTGTATGAAGGCACACTTGCAGCACAGGGATGCTTTGAGAGAGAGGGGAGGCTGGCAAACCTAGCCGTGTTACTGCATCCTTCCTATTTTCACATGCTTGTGTTTGTTCTGTAGAGAAAATCCCCGTGGAAGCAAAGTTGCCATGGTATAAGCAGGCTCAAGAGCTGGAGGAAGGGGCAGTGGTGTCTGAAGAACCATCGTAAGTCTTAAAATTTTGCTTACAACGTACTCTGGTGATGTGGGGATCTGGGGCTTGTGCTGACCAAACACAATCTCTTGAAATTGTGTTTGGCTTTCAATTGAGTGTAAAGGCTAAACCCAACCCTGTGAAAATCAATGGGCCTAAGACTGTGTCACACTTCAGTATGTGTGGCAGAATTCAAATCCGCAAATGCAGATTCAATCTGAACAAATATAGAAATGTTTTATTTAAGGTCATTTCCAATAATATTGTAGTGAGAGTCTGTCTACCTATGTAGTTATATGTTCCCCGCTACCGCTGTAACTCTGCAGCTCGACACCTCTATTTATTTATCCTCACAATACCCTTGTGAAGTAAGAGGTAAAATACAGTGCTTGTTCCCCCTCACCTTTCCCCCCATGAAGAATGTAGTGGCAGCAAACAAAATGAATTAACTTGAGCAGAAAATAAACTAGAAACCTCAGCCCTGTGGCTTGGATTGCCTTATCATCACTAACCTCCTCATGTCAGGGATTTTCCTCTCCCTGCTTTTCCAGCCACTTATGGTCTTTGCCACCTTGGCAAGATGGATCTCAGTCAGTACCTTATACCCCATTAGTAGCCCTTCCTCCTGCTGCAGACCCTCTTGGATGGTGGGTTGGCCCACATACCTGCACGGACAGTTGCCTCACATGCAGATTCCTGAAACGATGGGAACTGTATATTTCCCTCCTAAATACATAAAATTAACTCATTATGTCCCCTAAATGTGACTTTTTCTTTAATCTTTTTCTACTTGTTTGTCTTATGTTTTGTGAAAAGTAATACCATTGAGTTACAAAGAGGTGGAAGGCGCGAAAATAGTTACACGTAATGCTGAAGGAAAAAAAATTACAATAAAAAGTCTGAAAAGAACACTTCCACTGAAGATCGATACCTGACTTCTTAATATATCAATAAGAAAACCTAACTGTATGAACCTGGTGTAGCCAGGTGCTTCACACAGTGCTACTGAAAATACAGTTTAGCGGTTTCTGCATGTGCTCCGTTTCATTAATAGCACGAATGCAGAAGAAGCTAGAAACAGTAAGTCGTTTTAAAAAACCCTCAGAATTTCATTCAAAATTGGGTTTTATTGTCACTTACGGATAATTAATCTTCCTTAGTCCAATAAAATAGCAATGAAAAGGAAGCTGCAGTAAAACTGATGTACCTTATAAACCTTCAGCAATGAGGCTGAGAAATTAAAAATACTGTTATGATTATGGTTTGGATTTTTTAGTCTGGAACTGTGATAAATGCATGCTATAATAGTAATCTCTGCCCACCGCTTTAATCAGTATCCAGTTCCTCGTGGCTGAGCACATGGCATTTTTTATTACAACTGCAGCTGTGTATTAGCCATTGTTTGCTATGCAATATAATTGCAGGTTTGGCGTGGTTAATTTGAATTGAAGTAATTTAAAACTGGAACATGGAAATAGAGCTAGAGACATGTAATAAAGCCCTCAAAATAAAAATTATTTTAATCCAGCTGACATAAGTATATATAAATGCATAGGTATACATACATCATGTATACAAACACATATATACACATATATACAAATGCACATATTCACATGTATATATATATTGATAGCAGCTAATGCGTGTAATATGACATGTTTAACTGTTTCCAGAGTTTTGAAGACTTCGTAAGTTAATTCATACAGTATCAAAGTCTAGAAAATTCAATATTTGTGAACATATGTGTTTTTCATTTGTAAAATGCAGTTTATTTTCGTGTGTCTTTTCTTGTGACTATACTAAACCACTTAGCTAAATGTACATTTGTCAAACTGTAAATAGCCCCTGGAAGAATATATAAAAAAAGATGTGTTTTTTGGAAGTTTATTAAAAGGAATAATACTGACACGTAGTCATATCTGGAACAATTTATTACACTAAGAAACTTTTTAGATAAATTTTGTGAACAATGTTAACAGTACTGTAGAAAAAGAGTGTAGTAATAGATATATAAGTATATGCAGCTTTAATTAATAAAAAGAAGGGGTTTGTAGAGAACAGGCATAACCTGCAGGGAAAGATGAAGAGGCTTTTGTTTATCATGACATGTATTTTGATAAAATATTCTGGAAAACCGTATGGTTATATTACTTGTGATACTAAAACAGACCTTGAGTGATATAAAGGAAAAGGAGTTTAAGAAAGTTAAAATGTTTTAAGTGCAGCTATGACACCTTCTTACTTTACAGTTTCACTGTTCTGCAAAGACATCCTAATATTTTTACGCCATCTCATGAAACGCTTCAGTGATAGCAGCAGGACACCAATACATCAATCCTGGGGGGCACTGTCCAGACTAGGTTCTTTCTGCCTTGGGGTGACATTTTGTACATTTTGTCTCACCTCACAAAGCACAACTCTGGGAGCACGTATAATCTTTACTTTAGGCTGATGAGAAATCAACGTGACGTTAAATGGAATTCCAGTATAGATTGTTATATGTGTTGACTAACAGCTAAAATAAAGGACATAAAGTCAGGGTCTTTATACAGACTATCCTGGAGCTTGGAGATATCCATGCCTTAATGTTTAGTTCGGAATGATTCTTAGTGATAAGGCATGAGGCAGAAAGATCAAATAAAAACTTAGAAAACATGTGCTGAAAGGGCCATGCCTGTCTGTAAACTGTAACAGCCATCTGCATATTGTTCCGGAATACCTAACCTATTGACAGTAACCTTGAGCAGTGAACTTCCACATAAAAAGGGTTTGGGTGCCTCACTATTAATAGTGTTCTGCATTAATGGCTAACTTTAAACAATTATTCATTTTAGGTCTTGGTCATTATATTGAAATGTAATGACACAAAAAAGGAGACAGTACATTCAGAACTCACCAAGATACAATCAACAATCAACTTTAATGCCAGTTTTATGGCATCACTTGTCCACCTTCAGCTGTGTAGGGTTTTCACATGCACCATTTAGATGAAAAGCAAGGTGTATTACATGATAATGCGCCTTTTGGCCTGTGTTTCCACAGCTATGCAGAGACACAATGTAATACTCCATGACCTACCATTCTGCTAGATGTAGGGCTGTCACCCACACATTTTGGCTGGTGAATGTCCAGAGTGTAGGTGCATGCTAATTATAGGGTTGGAATGATCAAGAGGCTTTAAATGTTGGATCAAGCACCGGCTGGGGGATGACATTATGTGATGTGGCCAGCTATTATGCTGACTCTGAATTTGAGCAACTACAACATAACCATCAATTTCTTACTGTCTTATGCCTAAGCATGTTACAGGGTGTTACTTTGCTGTAAATATTTCCAGAAAACATACCAGGGGTTGTAAAAACAATTTTAATTGCTTGTTTTCCCTCTCCTCAGGAAGCCATTTCTCTTTTCTCATTCAGTACAGCTGAGGTGGCTGAGTAGGGTTTGAGGGTGGGAGTTGAGCTGGGCAGGCAGGATGGGCTTTCTCTGGGACTCATCCCAAGGGGGAGGGAATGATGGGCAGGGGAGAGGCAGCGTAGAAGGGAAGGAGAATGGTTGTAGAGCAGGAGAAGGACTCCAGTGGCACAGTAAGCCAGGTGCTGGAAAGGCAGCATTGTGTGTTCATGAGCATGTTTCTTGAAGTTGGAGTAATGGAAGTTTCTTCAGAGAATCTATGCTTGTATGATTTTCCTATTCACTTTGTATTGATGCAATAATTACCAATTTCATGACTGTACTTGGGCAGATGTCAGTAAGGACTTACTCTTTTCCTATACTTCCTCTGAGGCTCTTCCTGAATTTTCTTATGCTACCAAGTCACTGACCCCATTCTCCCCTACAGACAGGATCACTCTTTGTAGCCAGCTGACCATTCTTCCCCTACCACTGTCACCCTTTCTTCCTTATCATTCTTCACACAGAAAAAGCAGACCCCATTTATAAGGAACTTTATTGTCTTTCTCAAAGTTTATTTTTTATTGGGAGTTTAAAAGCTAAAGCTGAAAATTTTCAGCTGATTTCTTTTACACACTAAGTTCTTATATTTGTGAATCTCTGTCTTGTGACTTTTGTGAATTTCTACTGAATACAATTTTTTTTTACTAAATTGCATACTATGAGTTATAAACTTACACTTTTTTCAACATTGTCCTTTCACCTGTAATTTTTGATCATTCTCTAACATGCTGCTAAAGCAGCAGATGCCTCATTTTTATTCCATCTGCGTGCAGTGCCTTCCATTAGTTATTTCTTCAGGAATTTCTAAAGGAAGCAAGTCTTACAGTTTAATTTTGTCTGTATATGTCTATCTGTCAGTTGCCTTCCTCTTTTCTCAGTAATGTCTGAATTTATTCCTATTAACTGAATTTGACAGAGGTATAAAGTTATCACAAAGAATTTTAGCCTTCTGTCAAATTTGGTTGATATTTACCAGGAAATTTACCAGCGGTAGGATTTTCCATATGTTTCACTGAACTAAAGGACTGAGTAGAAAACTGACACCCTACAGTTCCTCAGTTGAAGGAAAGGTTTCTAAAGGAGTTTGGTCCTTAAAAGATACCAGGGAACCCACTTGGGCACTCAGACTTCAAATATAAATCCATGTTAAATTGGTCTTCATCAGTTCTGCTGCTCAAAGAATTAATCATAACCAGTTCAGCCACTCCAAGGCTAGAGGGGTTAGTTATGTTTGTGTTGTCTGACCTGCTGCACCCCTTGATGGGGTCAATTAAATATTAATTGCTGACAGAACTACTTTGAAATACTCTAGGTTGGTAAAAAAGCATTGTAGTCTTTATTAAGACAAAGGTTTAAGGTGAGAAGTCCTTGCTGTCCTGTGCTGTCATACATATTGTTCTCCTATTGCTGTCCATCTCTGAAGTGACCATTCACCAGGCCTTAAAAATACGTTATCTGAGGGAGAAGCCACAGTATCTCTATGTATGACCTTTCTCACTCATTGCAACAGCACAGCATGACAGCCAGAGCCAGAAAGAGCAGCAGTCATGATT